CGTCGTTGATGGTTCCGCTGCCCCGAAGCCTAGTCATACTGCGTTGACGGTTCTCTGCTGCCCCGAGAGCCAAGCCAGAGAAGGTTAACTTGGTAAGTTTAATCAGATGCGCCAAAATGAAACCCTATGACAGATAGGGTTATCCAAGCAAGTAACTTCAAGAATCATTTTAGATAACCCATTGACTCATAGGTCAACATTGAGAGGTCATTTTCATTACTTCTTATTAGCACTACCACGGGGTATGTAGTAATGTTTACACAGATTTAGAGGCAGCAGCTAAAAAAACCGTGTGAAGAGTGTAGCAAATTCTTGAGGCATAACCGCATAAGCATAAATTTTATCAGATCCGGAACAAAGCATGACCACTCATTTTCCAAGATAAAGAAAAACCACATGTATACCACCAACATTAGCCTCCTGATTTATTGAGCATTATACACTCAACATACATGAAGAAGAAGAATATATCATGAAAAAAACACAGGAATACTTTATCATAGATACGAGAACCATTCTGTTCAGAGAGAAAAAATAATAATAAAAAAAAAAACATCAAGGCAACTGCAAAAGTATTAGTTTGGCCAGAGAAGATTGACAATTCAGACTTCTACACTAAGCAATCAATCTACGATTCTACACTAAAACTTTTCAAAAAGAGGAAAGAAGAAAAGGAAACTCAATACAAAAATCCAATGGTCATACCAAATAAAATCAACAGGACAAGCTTTAGGACTTGAATGCCCACCTAGTACGTTTGGAGCCTTATTTCCCAACCTCAGTCTTTGGAGTCTTATTTTCCAGAAACTTCTTGAGCACATCCATGACAGATCCAAAATCTGCCTTCACTTGCACGGGTGAGTTAGCATACCGGCAAGCCATGTCCGGAATTGCATTTGAGTGATAATCAACCTTAGATTGGGTAAATTTCAACCCATGAGCTGTACTTACCACCACGGTCCTATCCTGAGGTCCTATAACCCCACTGTTTCGGAGCTTGATCAAAGCAGTCAATGCAACTCCAGTATGAGGGCATATAAACATCCCAGTGGAATCTGCCAGCGACATAGCATCCATCAACTCCTCCTCAGTTGCCTCTTCAACAATTCCATTGGAATTCTTCAAAGCATAGACAGCTCTGTCTATAGAAACAGGGTCACCAATCTGGATAGCTGATGCATATGTAGAATTTGCCTTCACTGGCTGAAAACCATTCCATCCCGACTTATAATACAAGTAAAGCGGATTTGCATTGGCAGCCTGAGCGCAAACCAACCTCGGTATCCTATCAACAAGACCTAACTCTTGACACATTTTGAACCCTTTATAGAAGGCATATATGTTACCTAAATTACCACCCGGAACAATAACCCAATCAGGCACCTCCCAATCAAACTGCTGCAAAATCTCAATTGCAGCTGTTTTTTGCCCTTCTAGCCTCAAACTATTCAGAGAATTCGCCAAGTAAATGGGCAACTCAGATGTAACTTCCCTTATCAACTTCATACACCCATCAAAATCAGTATCAATACTCAACACAAACGCACCATTTGCAATAGGCTGAACTAACTGGGCAATGGAGATTTTGTTAGCAGGCAAGAACACAATTGAAGGGATTCCCGCCGCTGCGCAATATGCTGATAACGCGGCGGAAGTATCCCCAGTGGAGGCGCAGCCAACCCCAACAACTGGTCGCTTCAATTTGCGCAAGCGATTAACTTGACTAACTAAAACAGTCATACCCAAGTCCTTGAAACTACCCGTGTGGCTAATCCCGCAGTGTTTTACCCACAAATCATCCATACCCAGAAACTGTTTGCCAAAACGCTCAGCCCAGAAGAGATTTGAGTTACCTTCAAAAGCAGAGACGATGTCATCCGGGTCGATCTCCGGCAGGACCCACTCCTTCTTGGACCAAACCCCGGACCCATATGGCCACGTGGTCTTGCCAACGCGCGAATCAAATAGCTCCCTCCAGTACGCGCCGTCGAACTTCTTTAGTTCCTCCATATCGTGCTGCACGTCAAGCAACCCGCCCGAGCGGCTTCGGTAAACGATTTCGTCGAGCGAGTAGAACTCTGTCGAGTCCGGGCCGGCGTTGAAGGGCACGTATTTAGCGGAGAAAGTGGTCTTGGTGGTGGAGTGGTGGCGGCGAGCTTCATCGCGAATGTTCTCATCGGTTTGGCGACGATTCTTAGAGACAATCGGTTCAGGAGGAAAGCCGTTCGTGCCCGTGGCTGGGCCGGGGTCGAATGTGGAGGAGGAGCAGGAAACTATGGAGAGGCAGCGGCGGCTGGTTACAGGGGACTGGTGGAATTGGAGTCTAGGTTTGTGGATAGGGGAGGAGTGAAGTACGGATAACAATGCCATGCCTAAAAGAAACTCGCCGGCGGCGGCGACTCCTTTAGTGGGGGAGTACGGAAATTAGTGGTCGGCGGCGTGGATTTTGAAGGATGAGGGTTCGCACAGTCTCCGTCTCGTTGCGGTGAGACTGCCAGTCTGTGGGAAGGGAATCGTAATTAACACGTGCTAAATTGTTGCAGCTACCAGTTCTATGCATTTATTTTTTTGTGAAAAAATTTCCTCTTTTTTTTTTTTTTTCTTTTTATCTGTTTTATTGAGATGCCTAAAATTTATGTTTGTTGAGGTCCTTAACTTGATGCTGTTATGACATGACACTATATATAACCTATGAAATTGGCAGTTAAATAGCCTATAAAAAAATAATTTTTTATTATTTAAATTAAAAATATTTTTAGTGTGAACAGTACAAAAATAACACAATCAAATTATTGAAATTACCAAAAGCCTCTTAATAAAATTCTCTTCTACTTTTTGATAATTTTGATAATAACAGTTTGCTAATTTTAATATTTAACTTGTATAAGAAAATATAATTTATACTAAAAAATAATAATATTTATTTTAAAGGATTATGTGGTCCACCTGCTCTCTACCATTCCCATTTACCCTCTACTGTTAGAGTTGGCCAATGAGTACAAAAGGTATGGGCAAGCTCGCGAGCTCGTGGGGGCCGTGTGTGCTAAGCCTCAATCAAGTGCTTAAATGCAAATTCTATATTACTTAAAAAGGCAAAGAGGCAAGCAATAGTGCTAAATAGCAATAATGGAAAAAGGACACACTCTAGCTTTTTTTCTCAAGATAATTTAATAGCAATTAGTTTTTTTAGCTTGTTTGACCAAGATAATGACCTACATGCTTTACTACCTGCATTTCCAAAAAATAAAAAAAAAGCTCAAAATTTCAGTCCGATATCTAGATACAGGAGGGACCTTCTTCCCTGCGGGATGGAGAAGAGAGAAGATTTTCTCCAGTAAAATTTCATGGGAAATTTATCCTACCCACAGGGACCCTGCAATTTCTTTGCTCAAAAGAATGGCTGGTGTCCCAAACTCGATTATTAATATTATGTTTTTTTTATTTTAATTAATTATTATATCTTATAAATAAAGAGGCGTAAAATTTTAAGAAATGTGCAATGTAAATAAAAGTGGTGTAGAGTTATGAGAAAAGTGTATTATAAATAAAAGTAAATTAAAATTAAGAATATAGTGGTTAGTTAAGCTGAAAATGTGTGGTAATTAACCATTTAAAATGTAGCATAACCCCACTCTTAAAATGCGTACATAAAAAATTAAAATTAAAACTCTTATACATAAAAATTAATTGTTAGATTAAATGTTTTATTAATGTGGATTGGATATGTCAAATTTCATGTTGATGGAATATATTTAACTGTTTCATTGATTACACAAATTTCATATCCTTAAAAATGTTTAAAACTATAGTTTTTTTTTTTTTTTTAGATAATCATAGGTGTTATATTAACTTGAATCAATTTAATTTATGCTATTAAAATAGAATATTTTATTTTCTTAATAAAAATTTATTAAAACGATATAATTTTAAACTAATTTCCCTTATAATCTTCATAAGATAAGCTAAATAAGCACTTTCCTCTTTAAATGTTAATGATTGTATATTTAAAATCATTCAGGACATCTTATTGAAAATTATTGGAAGAATTTTTTTAAAATATCAATCCAATTAAATGGGACAAATTCATTTAGCACCTCTTACTTAACTGATCAAATTATGGAGATTGAAGTGTTCAGGTCCACTATCTTCTAAAAAGACTTAATTTAATAAATAGTCTAATATTTTTTTTTTTTGTTTTGTCTTTTATCTTTATATACTTTTAGATTCATATACTATTTTTTACTTTTATTTTAGTTTAGTCTAATTTGTTAATTTTCTAACAGTAGTTTCACTCTATTTAATCAAATTGATCTTCAACTAATTTCAACTAATTTCATGAGAAAGGTAAGTTTTTTTTTACTATATGAGAAAGTGTAACTTTTATCACATGTTGTTTTTACTTTCCCTTTAATAATTCTATTTAGTAGTAGAGACCATAATTATTGACATATTTTAATAGTTTGTACTTTGTACAATCTATCATGGATTGTTTTGCTAATTAGGATTACTTTATTTTAATTTTTATATAACTTTTCTATTATTTTTTCTATTAAAATTAATAAAAGTTTTATACAGTAGACTATTTTAAAATATTTTACATAATTTATAGATTACTTAGAAAGAAAACTAACTTTCTAAACTAAAATAAAATTAAACTAATAGTTAATATGCCAATTATTGAATTAACCCTTCCAAAAATATAGGTAAAGATTGGGCTTGGGCTGATTAAATTAGGCTTTAGGTAGCCATAGTTTATTTATTACTAGTTTTAAAGGTTTTATCCTGTTTTGGGTTTGAAGAAGTAAGTTCTTTGAACTAACGATTGGTTGGTCTGAATAAA